TATAAACAAGTCATTCAGCCTCAACTGTATTCTTGTCCCCAGGCACCTCAGATGTATCCATATCCTGTATCCAACTCAGTGCCTGGACAGCAGGGCAAGTACCGGGGAGCAAAAGGTGAGCAGGGTTGGGAGGGGCAGCTGGTGGGGCTGCCCAGCTTCTCCTGGCAGATGGAGCTTGAGCTCGGCACTATTTTTCCCCCACCCCCAGGCTCCCTGCCCCCCCAGCGCTCGGACCAACACCAGCCAGCCTCAGCCCCTCCGATGATGCAGGCCGCCGCCGCTGCTGGCCCCCCTCTGGTGGCTGCCACACCTTATTCTTCCTACATCCCCTACAACCCACAGCAGTTCCCAGGCCAGCCTGCCATGATGCAGCCCATGGCCCACTACCCCTCACAGGTGACTGAGGCACAGGAGGGAAATGGGGGTGCAGAGCCCCTGCTAGGGATCCCATCTTCTCCACCTCCTAGACTTGGGAGCTGGTGAGAGAGGCAGGTGGTGTCCTGGGTGGTGGTGTCAGACTCGGGCTTCAGTCCTGGCTCTGCTGGGACTGTAGCAAAGCACTGAACACCTGAGCCTTAGAGGTTTTTTCGTCTGTAAAGTGTAGATTGTTTAAAATGGCATCTACTTGGTAGGATTATTCTGAGTATTAAACAGGGTAGTTGAGGCAAGGCCAGAGTAGTGCTGTGCACAGGTTATTGGGCAGTAAGACATGCCTCTCAAGTCGTCTGCCATGCCAACTGTTCCTCTCCTTGCCCCTCCAGCCGGTGTTTGCCCCCATGCTTCAGAGCAATCCACGCATGCTGACGTCGGGGAGCCATCCCCAGGCCATTGTGTCGTCCTCCACCCCTCAGTACCCTTCTGCAGAGCAGCCCACTCCCCAAGCCCTTTATGGTGAGTTCTGCTGTACCCTCCCCTTCAGGCTGTGCTCCTCAGCCACCTCTGGTGTGCTCAGCATTGATTCTCTTCTTCTTTCCTGCTGTAGCCACTGTTCACCAGTCCTATCCACACCATGCCACGCAGCTCCATGCCCACCAGCCGCAGCCGGCCACCACGCCTACTGGGAGCCAGCCGCAGTCCCAGCATGCGGCCCCCAGTCCCGTCCAGGTGCCTGCCATGTGGGATCCAAATGGTTGGGGCAGGAATGGGTGGCTGGAAGAGAGGGATAGAGCTAGGGGTCATTCCCTAGTGGGAAGAATCAGGGGTCATTCCCTAGTGGGAAGAATCAAGGGTCAGCAGGTGGTGGGCCTGGGTGCCAGAGGAGTGGGTGGCACTCACCCTTCGCCTCCCGCTAACAGCACCAGGCGGGGCAGGCCCCACACCTGGGCAGTGGACAGCCACAGCAGAATCTGTACCACCCAGGGGCCTTGACAGGCACGCCGCCTTCTCTGCCGCCGGGACCTTCTGCCCAGTCCCCTCAGAGCAGCTTCCCCCAACCAGCCGCTGTGTATGCCATCCATGCCCACCAGCAGCTGCCCCACGGCTTCACCAACATGGCCCATGTTACCCAGGTAAGAACCCACGGGATCTACTTCCTCTGGATCTGTTTTACCATAAGGACCTGAGCCATGGGGCTATCCCATTCCTTAATCCCTGGTGCCACCTTTACTTAGTATTTCTGATGTTAGGACCCTCAGAGCCCTTGTCAAGCTTCTGTGGTGCTCCCAGCTCTTTTTGTTCTCTGCAGGCCCATGTCCAAACTGGAATCACAGCAGCCCCGCCCCCTCACCCTGGGGCTCCCCACCCGCCCCAGGTGATGCTGCTGCACCCACCCCAGAGCCATGGGGGCCCCCCCCAAGGCGCGGTGCCCCAGAGTGGGGTGCCTGCACTCTCAGCTTCCACACCCTCACCCTACCCCTACATCGGACACCCCCAAGGTGAGCAGCCTGGCCAGGCGCCTGGATTTCCAGGAGGAGCCGATGACAGGATTCGTGAGTTCTCGTTAGCTGGGGGAATTTGGCATGGAAGAGCTGATGGGCTGCAGGTGGGGCAGGATGCACGGGTTCTGGGTGGGGAGTGAGGGGTCTTGGAGGCAGGGCTGTCCCACAGGGCGCCCGCCGACCTGCACCTGTCTGTGAAGTATGTAGGGTGGGCAGAAGCCACAGTCGCCGCCGCCAGGGGCTTGCTCCTGGCTCTGTCCTTTGCTTCCCTCCGTCCTCGCTCAGTTGTGATCCAGCAGCCCCCCTCCCCACTGCCTCCCCAGCTCTCAGTGACCCCGACTGTCTCCTGACTTAGCCGAGGTAAGGTCAGCGCAGCAGACAGGGCCAGGCTGGGGTGTGGGGGGCTGAGCTGGGCACACAAGTAAGGGCTCTGGCTCACTGGGAAACAGCGATTGATCTGTGCTCTGACAGCCCCATGAGACACCTTGAGGAGGCCGCTCCACCCAAACACTCCCCCACACCCCACGCTGGACAGCATTGGAGGAAGGGACAGCTGCTTGGGTTCTAATGCTCCTGCTCTCTTCTCTTTCCCCTCCAACCAGTTCAATCTCATCCCTCCCAGCAGCTCCCCTTCCACCCCCCGGGGAACTGAAGATTGTCCTGGCCGCGACCTGAGACCTCCATGAGTGGAGGGAAGAGTGATCTATGTCTCTTCCCCCAGCAGCTCGGACCAGTCCCAGCCCCCCACCCCCCTTTTTCCCCCTGGGGGAGCTGGGGAATTCCTGCCTAGCACCTTGAATGGGAGGGGCCTCAAAGTGGGCAGGGCCAGGGTCCAGCGGGGGTGGGGGGGTTCCTGCTCTGCCCCTGCCCATCCACACCCTATCTTGCCCTCCCATCCTATCATCTATCCCCCGCTGGAGTCGGAAGATCTTTTATTTTCTATTATTTATAACCTCAGACTTGGGCCCCCTGTTCTTTCTTCCCTGTTAACTTGAGTGACCGGTGTGAGAGACAGACAGATGCCCCCACAAGGATGGTTGGACAAGGACTTTTACTTTTTATTACATAAAAATATTTAAAAAAATTAAAAAAATAAAATTTTAAACTAACTTAACCTGCCTATAGTTTCCTCTTTGGAGAATAGAGTAAGATCTTAGCTGGCAGTCTTATCATGGTTCCCAAGATGGGGCAGGGTGGGAGCATGGTCCAGAGATGTTGCCCTTCTGGCTCTGACTACTGCACAGGTCACCCAACCTCCCAGTGACTTGTTTTCTCACCTCAAAATCGGCCTCATCTTGAGGTGTGATTTGAAGTTTTCATTTCTAATATAAATACTTGATGAATTATGTCTCTCTCTTTACACTGAAAATTGCTTGAGTGCTGGAGGGAAAGGCCTGAATGGTGCACAGCTGAGAGGTCTTGGGTGAGAGCTGTGAAGGTGAAGCTGCTTGTGGGAGAAGAGGGGAGAGGGCTGGCTTGAGGAGCCAGGTTAAGGGAGCAGGAGCTAAACTCGGGGTTATTGACGGGGCCAGAAGAGCATGCGATGTAGAAATAACAGGCTTCAGAGGAGGGTTTGTTTTTTTTCCTTTGTTCAAGGCAGCAGTTTGGAATTCTTGCTCTGTGACCTGGCCTTGGTTTTCTTGTCTGTAAAACGGAAATAATTTCCTCCTTAGAGGATTGTGAGGATGGGACTGGTGCTCCATGGTAGGCAGGGGTATCTTAGCTCAGACCAAAGCCAGAGAAAATTGGCTGAGACCAGGGCAGGAATAATGAAGGTTAGATATTGGGGAAGAATTCCCAGAGTGTGTGGATCTGAAATCTGGTAATTGGCAGACATAGGGTTGGGGGCGGAGGGGGAAAGGTATGTAAAGAAAAGTGAGAAACGGGGTTATCTATAGCAGCTAACTGACTGCTAAAAAGGGGTGGTTTGGGGTCCCAAGGGAAAGAGCCCTCTTGGGGGATGTCAGTTGGGGTTGAGGGGTAGTGATGAAGCAGGAGCAGGGCAGCTTTCAGCTAGGCTCAGGATGTTTCAGGTGCAGATGGAGAGATAGATCTTTAATACCATGAGAGATGTAATTGCAGGTGTTACTTTTGATGCTTTATGGAAGGACTGCAGGTTATAATTTATCATCTTATTCCTGAGAGCAGAAATCTCAAAGTTGGAAGGGAACTTAGCCTTCATCCAGTCAGGTAACTCCCTGTGAAACCTTTTGGCCTCCCCTTGGACACTGAGGAGGGTAGAACAACTAAATCGACTCTATTGTTAGTACTTTTTTGTGAAGTTGTTCTTATGTCCTTCCCTCAAGCCAAACCTGCTTCTCTGTCTCTGCTCTGGGGTCACAGGTCAGATTCTGAGTTTCTCAAGATGGCCCTCTGGTTGGGCCCAAGAGCCTCATGTCTCTGAGCTGCTCATCAGTGGGTTGTCTGTCCCAAATATACTCCTCTGTCAGGATCCAAGAGTGAGAGGGGTGTCTGTTAATCCTGCTGAATGTTACCTTTTTCATTTGGGGTAAGCATCCTCGCCAGTCATTTCAAGTTTTTAAAAGTCAGCATTTCACTCCCTGCATATTTGATAAACAGCCTTTTTCTTAATTTTAAGTCTCAGTAAATGCTGAAAATGAAACCTTCATCATGTAACTTCTCGCTCCTGCGTCTGAATTGGTGACACAGCAGTGATTACCCATCAAGCACACATATTATGTATTTGTCAAGTACCTCTTTATGTGCTGGTTCACAGGGAAGATATAGTCCCCAGTATCACAGAGCTTAAACAAGGCTCTTAGCTAGACGTTAACAGCCTAGTAACTACTCAGAGGAAATGAGGTGGGTTTGGCACCTGAGCTGAGCCCATGCTGACCCCAACTAATATCCAGCAATATCCTCCTGTAGCGTTTTGCTAGGCAATCACACAAAGCTCACTAAACTGATTTTCTCCTTTGGCTTCTGTGCCTTTCTCAAGTGTTACAGCAGTGCCGACAGAGAGCTTTAAGACCAGAGCTTTTCCAGCCTGTACCACAGAGGCAAACTCAGGGATATCTCACAAGCTCATCTGTCCTGGGCTTCAGCTCCATTTTTATACTGCCCCATCCTCTCCAACTTCCACAAAGGACATGGGACACAGGCTAGCTTACTATTCACAGAACAGTTTATTGACCTACCTCACCTGGCAGGCCACATGGCCCCGTCTGCCCAGGGAAAGTCTCAGTCTGGCTGCACTCTGCTGGGTTGCAGCCTGTGCCCTGGGAAGGGGCGCACCAGGAGAGAACACGGACCAGTGCAGCTTTGAACGCGAGAGCCTGAGCAGAGGTCCAGACTCAACTCCACTTGATGTTCTTGTCCTCCTCAGTCATGGCTGGCGTGTCAGTGACAAGACCGGTGCCGATGGTCCGGTTGCCATCTCGCAGGGTGAAACGCTGGCCTTTTTCTAAGATCATTGGCTGCCGTAAGATTAGGCTGAGCTTCAGATCCTCCCCAGGCATGGCGAGCTCCTGGAGGGGGCAGAGACAGGGATCACACATGGCCTTCAGTGTGTCTTCACTCCAACTGTTTGCTGGCTATCAAGGAGATTAAAACTGAGGAGAAAATGCAGCAGGGTGATTCTTTCTGGGGACAGCCTCATCCCAGCTGTCAGGCAGATGCAAACAGCATGTACAAAGACAGAAAAGGACCAGTGATCAGTGTTCATAAGGTACCTTCTTGAGAAAAAACGTTGAGGAAATTGTGAGTTATGCAGGTTTCTCAGTCACAGGACTTCTCTGAGCCCTTACATATAGTGAAACTCTCAACAAGAGGAACCCTTTTCTGGGAAATCTTTCTGTGGGTAAATGCTAGTTAGTATAGCTAAGTGTAACCTACTTCAACCCAAGGAATACTGGATGAGAACTCACTCCCCCTAAATCCACTGGTCCAGATCCTTCCATCACTAGTTTCATCTACATCATCAGCCAGCCTCTCTTCACCCAAGGAAAAGTCACCCAAGTCACATCTGTGGAACTGTGAGGCAGAGCTGATAATGACGAGTGCTCCTTCTACTCCATCACATTCCCTATACCCACCATACCTTCCCTGGAGGCAAGATGACACGACAGGCCATGTCCCAAGTCAGGGAAAACATGACAGGCATGAAGTGGGATACGAAGGGCTTGTGGCGGCCACCCTCCTCCTTGCTGAGGATGTAAACCTGAAAGAGAAAGAGCAATGAGGGTGGAGCTGGGCTTGGCTGGAAGCAATGCCCCTCTGCAGGGGACAGTTTGGCTCAGCCCTGCCCACCATCACTTGGAGCCCTCACCTGTGCCTCCACCTTCTGGTTGGGTTGGATGGAACCTGGCTTGGCCATGACCAGGCCTCGCCTCAAGTCCTCGCGCTTCAAGCCTCGGACCAGGGCCCCGAGGTTGTCACCTGCCTCTGCCCTCTCCAGGCTCTTATGGAACATCTCAATGCCTAAGAAGGAGGAGAAGAAACAAGGGTGGAAGACCTGGGGTAAAGAGACGGGATCTGCAAGGTGATCGTGGAGCCAGCTCCCGCATCCCAAGGCTTGCTTCCTATACCTGTTACCACAGTGCGAATGTTCTTGCTATGTCCCAGGAACTCACACTCATCTCCCTTCTTCAAAATGCCACGCTCTAGTGTACCTGTCACCACTGTGCCCCGGCCTGGGAGAGAACAGGACAGGACATCAGGGACTCTGGGGAGGCTATTGGTAGGGGGGAGGGAGTGCCAATGAGTGCAGTCCTCACCAGGAATAGAGTAAACTGACTCTATAGGCAGCAGGAAAGGCTTCTCCAGGTCCCGGGTGGGCACTGGGATATAAGTGTCCACAGCATCCAGCAGCTTCTGCACAGACTTCACGCCTAGCTCAGGGTCACGTTGCTATGGGGGGAGGTGACAAGACTCAAATTTCCATTCTGCTCTCTTACTTACCAAGAGTCACTCCCCTGACTCAGAGCAGAGCTCTGGATGCCCATCCAGCCCCATCCTCTGCCAACATCAGCCCCTGCCTAACCCTGCGTTCACCTCAAGGGCACAGAGGGCAGAGCCTATGATGACAGGGGTCTCCTCCCCTTTGTAGCCAAACTCAGTGAGCAGTTCCCGGATCTCCAGCTCTACTAGCTCCACCATCTCAGAGTCCTGGACAGCATCTGCCTTGTTCACATACACCACAACATGCTCTACTCCAATCTGTAGACGGGAGAGAGACAGAGATGGTGTCCTGAGCGGCCCAACTCCCCAATCGTCCTCTCTTCACCCTTACCCAGGCTCTGAGTACCTGTTTGGCCAGTAGTAAGTGCTCTCGGGTCTGGGGCATGGGGCCATCATTGGCTGCCACCACCAGGATGCAACCGTCGAGGGGTGCAGTACCTGTGATCATATTCTGGTAGAGGGAGCAGAAGAAACAGCCTAGTTCAACGACCTCCTCAGCTCCACATCCATCTAGCCAAGCATAGCAGTTAGGAACTGAGGCCCACCTTTCTCTGCCATCTCTTCACCACCCACTTTGGCCATGCCCACAAATCCATGATCCTAAACCCATTCATCTTGAGTATCTTAACCTCCTCCCCACAAGCCTAACATTTTTCCTGACAGGAGGCAGCTCCTGGCCCTGTCCCCAGCAACCTCTCACCTTAACGTAATCGGCATGACCCGGGCAGTCTGTGTGGGCATAGTGGCGGGCAGCAGTGCTATACTCCACATGGGCCGCATTGATTGTGATACCACGGGCCCGCTCCTCTGGGGCATTGTCAATCTCCTCGTATTTCTTAAACTTGGCTCCACCTCCCTCCGCTAAAACTAAGGTAGGGAAGAGAACACACCTTTCAGCTAAAGTTCCAGAGGTAGAGGCAAGGGCCAGGCCACAGCCTTGGGTCCTTCCCACCTAAACAAAGGACAGCCTGAGAGAATAAAGCTTCCATGACCCCCTCCCTCAACTCCTCCGGCAGAGGTAAGTTCGAGTCTGGAAAAAACGTTAAAAGGCCTCAAGGTCCAGCCTTGCTTCTTCCCTAGGGTAAAGTCTCTGCTTACAGGGCACTGGCGACGGCTCGGAGGAAGCCATTCGGGGTCCCCGATTTATGCATCACAAAGTTCTTCATGTTCAGGGAAAATCTGTCTCCTGCATCTTCCAACCCACCGCCCGCGCGAGTTCTGGCTCCCGGGACCACACTAAACACCTCCAGCAGCCACTCTGCTGGCCCCATCTCCCTGGCTCCAGATCCCTCCAGCAGAGCGGGTGCTGCCGGAAGCCCCACCCCAACTCCGCTTACTTTTCGTGATGGCTGCAGTCAGTGTGGTCTTGCCATGGTCCACATGGCCGATGGTACCCACGTTCACATGGGGCTTGTCGCGCACATAGGTCTTCTTGGCCTCCACGGCCAGGCCGCGACACAAGTGGGACAGTGCTGGGGCCTTCAGCGGCCGCAAGAGACCCTGCAGTACTGGGGCGGGGCCGGCGCCGAGACCTGCCGGGGCAGAGGCTTGGAGTTAGGACGCGGGTCCAAGCCCGGCCACTCCCGACGACCCCCACATCGCCCTTCTCGCCCCCTCACCGCTGAAGAGAGGCGCGCGCAGCAGGGTGGTGGCCGCCATTGTGGTCGTACTCGCGCCCCGAATACCGGGTACCGGGTGCCAAATGCCCGCGCGTGCAACAAGGAAAGGGCAATTGCGTCTGTAGGTGACTTCCGGCGGAAGTGAGGGCCGGGAGGGTAAGTCTGGGCCCCTCTAGCCATTAGTTTTTATGGCCATCTCCGCCGACTTCCGGGCGCAGGACGGAAGACGTCAAGGAAGGTGCCCGTGTCTCGAGAGTGAGAAAGGGTGGAGAAGGTGTCTACGACGCACGCGGGCGTTACGGGTCGACGGTGGCGACGCAGTTTTCCCTTGCGGCGCCGGGGAGACGTGGAGCGTCCCATAATGCACCACGCCATGAAGGCTCATGGGCGTTGTAGTTCCCAGGGCGGCGGGCTGGGTTTGCGCTTAGCGTGGGAGGCAGATAGGCTAGGTCGTGTGCGGAGGGAGGTTGCCGGCCTCCGGGAGGCAGAGGCGGCGGCCCCGGCGCGGTCTGCTCAGGAACGTCCTGGCCCCGAACGCCCTGGAGTCCACCCCACTGCGCGAGCCTGGCGAGAGATCTGGTGGCTTTTGTGCCGCAGCTGGAGGTAGGACCAGGCTCTGCGGCCAAGCTGAGGAAGACGGTCCTGGGCGCCCTGTGGAGTGGGGCTCACGTGTGACCCATCTCTTCACTGAGCCTGTTTTCTTATCTGTAAGATGAAAATAGTAGTATCTCCTTCATAGGGAGATCTTGATGTCTGGCTCTGAGAGGAAATGGGCTGGACGGGAGGCAGGAATGGGGGGTCCTGGGGCCTCTAGGTCCCACAGTCCTTGACCGTCAAATACCCGCCCTCTTGGCTCACAGCCTGCGGGGACAAAGCTTTGCCGTCCACCCCTGTAGCCCCTCAGCAGCCTAGGGAGTAATTCCCTTGAGGATTGCCCTACCCACTTACCCAGTTTACAGATGACACCGAGGGTGAGGGACCAGCCTTGACTGGCTTTAAGGGCAGCCTGAGTTTTTCTTGTTCCTGCTGTGTCCCTAGCACCCAACACAGGGCAGGGCACCCAATTAGTGCTCTATAAATGTCTGTTGACTGAGTGAAATGAGTGCAAGGATAGTAAGTGACCTTTAACTTTAACATCCATCATCTCATCACCCTGGGATTAATAGCAGCTGCTTAACCCTGATTAGTGTTTTCCGAAACTCATCAAATCCTAAGACTCAATGGGTTTTTGTTTCAAATAGATTTCCTAATTCCTCCCTTGGAGACTATGATTCAGTAGGGCCTGGGCACAGACAGGGAAACTGTATTTATGTATAACACACACACACACACACACACACACACACACACACCCTTCTTAAGCTCAGAGGAGTTTGGGAAACTCAGAACTAGAGCTTTTTATGGATCAGGCATTGTGCAAATGCTTCATGTTGATTCACATTCCATGCTCCCCATGTTATCTTGTGTGGTAGGAGCCATTATTTCCCCCGTTTTACAGGTGAGAAAATCGAGCATCAAGATGATTAAGGAACCCAACACAGCTAAACTCCAAAAAAGTGTGCACTTAACCACTGCACTGTACTATAATTTAACTGTCATTTTGCTGCTCAGATAAAATGAGGAACTTGCTAAGACTTCTGTCCTCCTGGCTCTCAAGTCCATCAGTTCTGCATAGGAAGGGCTAGTACAGTATAAAAGGGTTTTTGTTGTCCCTACCCTGCACCTCAGTCATTCCACTCCTGGGAATTCATCCTAAGACACTATTGGCCACTACCAGGATGTGAGATTTTTTGGGGTGGTACTTGAACTAATGCATTCTATTTTAGTGATGCTGTATTTATGTTAATGTGTATTAGTTTGAAAAAAAAAAAAGACTGGCATAGTAAATACTGAGTTTAAAAATTAATCAATTTTGGGCCGGCCCTGTGGCTTGGTGGTTAAGTGCGCGCGCTGCGATGCTGGTGGCCCGGGTTCGGATCCCGGGTGCGCATCGAGGCACCACTTCTCCGTTC